CTAGCTCATTTTGCAGATGAGGAAACTGAGGCAAACAGGGCTAAGTGACTTGCCCAGGGTCACATAGCTAGTAAGTGTCTAAGTCAGACTTGAACTCAGAAGGATGAGTTTTCCTGAATCTAGGGCTGGTGCTCTATCCACTGTGCCAGCTAACTGCCTTGTATCAGTTCATATAGGTCTTCCCATGTTTTTCTGAAACCATCCTCCTCTTCGTTTCTTATAGCACAGTAGTGTTCCATCGCAATCATATGCCACAACTTGTTCAGCCATTCCCCAAATGATGAGCATCCCCTTAATTTCTAATTCTTTGCTATCGCAAAAAGAGTTGCTATAAATATTTTTGTACACATAGGTCCTTTCCTTTTCTTTTTAACTCTTTGGGGTACAGACCTAATAGTATTGCCGGGTCAAAGTGTATACACAGTTTATAATTGTTTGGGCATAGTTACAAATTGTTCTCTAGAATGGTTGGACCAGTTCACAACCCCACCAACAGTTCATTAATGTACCTATTTTCCCTCATTCCTTCCAGCATTTGTTATTCCTGATAGGTTTAAGGTGGTACCTGAGAGTTGTTTTAATTTGCATTTCTCCAGTCATTAGTGCCTTAGAGCATTTTTTTTTGTATGACTATAGATAGCTTTGATGTCTTCTAAAAACTGCCTGTTTGTATGCCTTGACAATTTATTAATTCGGGAATGGCTCTTATTTTTATAAATTTGACTCAGTTCCCTGTGTATTTGAGAAAAGAGGACTTTGTCAGAAAAACTTGCTGTAAAAAATTTTATATTACTTCATTGTCTATGGTACCTTTTATCAAAAGGTAGTTTCCCTGGTGATCTCTTTTAATTAATTGCTTTTCCCTTCTCTGAGATCAGGCTTCCTAGCCCTGCCATTTTTACTTCAGCTGAAGCATGATACATTCTGCTCTATCTCCTTATTTTAATTGCGTCCTGTATGCTTGTTGGATTCTGGTTTCTAATCTATTCAGCTGTCTGCTTCCCGTTTTATAAACCTGTTGGGTATGGTAGATTTCTATACACAACTGAATGGTGGTGGTGGAGGTGGGGGAGATGGTTCTTTCCTTTTTCAATCAATTCCTATAAGGCTGAAGTTCAAGCATTACCTGCCACCACCACCCTTTCCCCCTCTACTGTCAAGCTCTTCCTTGTGTGATGTTTTTATGTGAGATAATGTTCCCTATTCTACCTGTCCCTTCCCCCTTCTCCCAGTGCATCTCTTTTTCTCACCCCTTCACTTTTTTAGATCATCCCAGCATATTTGCCACACCTGCCCTCTGTCTATATAGAATACTTCTAACTGCCTTAATAATGATAAAGTTCTTAGAAATTACTTATATTATCCTCCCATATAGGAATGTAAACAGTTTCATTTTATTGAATCACTTATGATTTGTCTTTCATGTTTGCCTTTTTATGCTTCTCTTGAGGTCTTGTGTTTGAATGTCAGATTTTCTATTCAGCTCTGATCTTTTCATCAAGAATGCTTGGAAGTTCTCTATTTCATTAAATATCCATTTTTCTCTTGCAAGATTATACTCGGTTTTGCTGGGTAAGTGGTTCTTGGTTATGATCCTAGCTCCTTTGCTTTCTAGAATATCATACTCTAAGCCATCTGCTCCTGTGTGATCTAGACCATGGCTCCACAATATTTGAATGTTTTCTTTCTGGCTACTTGCAATATTTTCTTCTTGATCTGGTTGCTCTGGAATTTGGCTATGATATTCCTGGGAGGTTTCATTTTGGAATCTCTTTCCAGAAGTGATTGGTGGGTTCTTTCATTTTTTGTTTTACCCTCTGGAGCTAAGATATTGGGGCAATTTTTCTTGATAATTTCTTGAAATATGATATCTAGCCTCTTGTTTTTTATCATGACTTTAATGTAGTCCAATAATCCTTAAATTATCTCTTCTTGATCAGTTTTCAGGAAAGTTGTTTTTCCAGTGTGATGTTTCATGTTTTTTTCTATTTTTTCATTCTTTTGACTTTATTTTTATTGTTTCTTAATGTCTCATGGAGTCATTAGATTCCAGTTGGAAGATAATTTCCCATTTGTCCAATTCTGCTTTTTAAGGAGTTCTTTTCTTCATTAACTTTTGTGCCTCTTTTACCATTAGGCCAATTCTGTTTTTTAAGAGGTTGTTTTCTTCAGGCATTTTTGTGCTTCTTTTACCAGGCTGTCTCTTTTCATAATTTTCTTGCATCACTATCGTTTCTTTTCCCAATTTTTCCTCTACTATGCTTATCACTGTCTTTAACGCTTCTTGTTGGGCTTGGATCTAATTAGCATTTTTCTTTGAGGCTTTGTTGTAGCTGTTTTCACATTATTGTCTTCTGAGTGTCTTGGTCTTCCCTGCCACTGTAGTTGCTTATTATGGTCAAGGTCTTTTTTTGTTGTTTGCTTATTTTTCCAGTCTATTTCTTGGCTTTGAACTTTATGTTAAAGTTGGAGTCTGCTCACCTGGGGCTGGGAGGCACAGTTCCAAGCCTCAGATTTTATTATGCTAGTATTTTCAGAGCTAGTTCTGGGGGTCTGCAAGTTTCCGGTGCTTCTGAGGTGGTGTGATACAGAGAGAGGTATGGTCACTGCTTTTCTGGTCTCTACTCTGGTCTTCATCAAAGAAGTACCGCTCCTATTGTCCCTGGAACTGTGACCAGGTCCCCTGCTCCCTTGTGACCAACCACAAGTAATCCTCTTCTCCCTGCAACTTCGATCCAGAACTTCATAGGGGTAATAGACTTGTTACTCAATGCTAGCTGCCTCCAGTACAAAGGGTTCCCTATAATCCCTTTCTGACCAGTTGTCCAACACCCTTACTGTCTCTGGGCTGAGAGCCCTTAAAACTACTGATGTTGTTGCCATCTGCTATCCACCTCCAAGGCCCATTATTGGTGTTGCTGCTGCATGTTCTATGGGCTAGCTTCCACGCTATTGTCACACACCTTTCCTACTGACCTCTTTAGTAGTCCTACCCTAGAAAAATGTATCATCCTGACCTTTTGTTGGCTCTGCTGCTCCAAATTTCAATTTGAAGTGTTATTTTAAAATTGGGAATGTTGGGAGAGTTTGGCTGGGTTGCTGCCTCTAATCTACCATCTTGGTTCTACCTTCTTCTCAGTCATTTTTGTTTTTCCAATCCAAAAGATCTTGTCAGAAAAAAAAAAGCAAAATAAGAATTGAATAGCTCTTTTCTTCATCACACATTATCATCTTCCCATCCTTGTTTTAGCAACCATCCTACCCCTTCTTTCATCCTTTTCTTTTGCTGTTTATGGCTACAAGTCATAGAACATCACTTTCCAAAGTATTAAACTTACAGGTCATCCAAAGGTCAATAGAAAGGTATATGGTGGGCATGAATAATCTGTAATACATTGCCATTGAAGATTTATTTGTGCAAGAAAAGCAGCATTAAGGATATCGTCAGAGAAATTTATGTCTGTAAAGCAAAGATGAGGGATAATTAGTGAAGAGCCCACATACTACATTAGTATCCATATGGTAGCAAGACATCTAAGTAAGGCCTCCAGGATGTTGGGGCCTTGTAGAGAACCTACAGGAGAACATGGACAGGAATAGCACAGAATGAGATCGTATTAATGGGTTGTAATAGTTAGAGAAAGTAGCCCCATAAATGATACCATAGATCCATCAAAGTATCAAAATTATTGTGATTTTTCTCTTCCCTCTAATATACCTTAAAATAGCTCTATTAAAACCAATAGATTTTAATTTAAAAACTAATCTGAACAGAATTAAAGCTGATTTCAAGTGGCATTTATTTTAGTTGGCTGCTGTATTTTCAATATCTTATCTAATATTATTTCAGATAAAATTCTTAATATAAGATTTCCATTTTGTGCTTTACATGTTACCTGAGTCATATTGAACTCGATTTTGAAAGCTTTATAAAAACAGAATTTTCTTCCAGTAAAAATTTGAAAAAATAATTTGATAAAATGAAAAACCAAAAAAAAATGCTTATATTGTTCTTTGGTGACTTGCATTACAGATACCATGTATAATGGAAATCAAATTCCTATGATGCTATAAGATCATGGAATCATAGTTATACCTAGAAGATCTAACTTAGAGATCTCTAATTTATGAGTCTACCCTCTACCAACAAAAATAAACTTCTTGTCTTAGTAAATGGTTTCATGAATATCTGTGGCCAGACTTCTAGTGGTAAGACCCTGTATTTTAATAAGTTGATCCTCAAGTGATTGATAACGGCTGTCGTCCAAATCATACTCAGAGACCTTCCAGTTTGCTAGGCCCTATAGAACTTGTTTCCTTTGGCATAACCTTCCTAAAACCAGATTTACCTCTGTATCACAAGGATCCTCATACAGATAACCTGGAAAATAGCTGATTGGTTAGTGCTAATAATAAATAAAACTTTTAGTTTAATAATAATGATTTGCTTTGGGGATTTATAAGTGCTCAAGAATATTATACATTTCATAAACATAATCGAGAGTGGTGGTGATGAACTTCACCATACTCACCGACAATATGATGCCTAAGAGAATATAATACACATAAGATTTACTTTTCCTTGTCATTATTGCTTTTAAGATTTTATAATCTATATATGTAAATCAATTTATATCCATAAATCCTAATAGTCAACAAAAATAAGCAGAGCAAATTTAAAAATTAGGTAGAGTTCACCTAAAATTAACTAGCATCATAGGATAATCAAATTTTAGAATCAGAAATCATAAATTATAAATTATATCACACAGTGCTTTACTTGATAATAAATAAATAGGCCATATTTGGTGATAGCCTCAAAAAATAATGTGTTTGATTTGTCTTGTGTTCAAAAGGCAGATTTATAATATCTTAATTAATCAGCAGGCCACTTTATAATGGTTGACATTTCTGCTGAAATGATCTTTTAATTCTTTCAACTTTAAAAAAAATAGACAAATCTGTCATAAATTGGCATTTCTACATTTTTGTTTTAACAGCAATTACCCCCACATGTACGCATCTGGGATTCTGTCACATTGAATACGCTGCATGTCATTGGAATGGGTTTTTTTGACCGGGCAGTTACCTGTATTGCTTTCTCTAAATCTGTAAGTATATAGGTACTTGAAATTGATCTGATGTTTAACAATACGGCATGTACCTAAATCTATGTGTTCTTAAATATATTAAATATATTTGTATGTATTTTGTGCTATAGTATGTGTTATTCTGTACTAATCTGTTTCACTCTATAGTATAATGCTATAATATTCAATACTATTCTATAAACTGTAGTATGGATGTATTTTTCACTTAGCATGTATGTATGTATTCTGTACTATAGATGTTAGGATATGCCATGAAGTTAAACATTTATGTGTAAATGTAAATGCAGGCTTCTTGTTTTTTAAGGAGGGCTGCCCACGTGAATTGGAAACCGTCTTCCTTTAGGCACTGGGAATCAAAATTACTCTTCTTCAGCCATTTAAAACTGAAAGGGTGCCCCATGCATGGCTCTTCTCTTTTCCCCTCCTGCACCCTCATCATCCTAGTTTTCCCTGCCAGCACCCCTTCTAGCTAAGTAAGCAAGTACCAAAGACACTGGACAATGTGAATGCCATATTGGGCTAAATATAGACCACATTCTTCCTCCAAGACTAGCTTGTTATAAGAGTCAAAATGTGGCCTGTTATTAATATTATTTTTCAATACATTTTTCCATGGCAAAGCAACTTCATTTTATAAGTATGACCCATATTCTCAAAATCAGTCATGATTTTAAGATTAGGGAACTTTTTATTAAAGGAAAACATTCAATTCTTTTTATGTTTATTTGAACTTTTCCTGTGATTAACTTTGTTTTTCAGAATGGAGGAAGCAATCTTTGTTCAGTAGATGACTCCAATGACCATGTGCTTTCCGTGTGGGATTGGCAGAAAGAAGAAAAATTAGCAGATGTCAAGGTTTTATCCCAAATCATTCAGTCGTTTGTGTTTGTACTAGAACATTATTCCTCTTACTTAGTGCCAGCTTGTCAGATCTCTTTTCCTTTATACTGAAGCCCCTTCTTAACATTTCTGTTTCTGATAGTAAGCTGTTTATTCTTCCATACATTAAGATGAGATGTCTTGGAATCATTTTTCTGCCTTTCTTCTCCCTCCAAATTCAGGCACTAAGTCTTGTAAATTTTTCCTTCACGATATCCCTAATAATCTCCCCTTCTTTCCATTCCATTTGTAACCACCTAGGAAGATCGTTGATAGGATAGAAAACATGAAAGGGTCTTCAATATCTGGAAATGCCTGCTGGTTCACCTGACTACAGCTTGCAGGATATATGTACTTTGAAAGGTTATAACTGTCCTCTATATTGATCTGAATTCTACTTTTCCATCAATATACATCTCAATAAAGTTGATTCTAATGAAACTTATTCCATAATGATTTTTTGAATTTTCATTTACTTCTTTTGGACTAACCTAAAATTCATAAATTATATCATGCAGTCTTTTACTTGCTTATGTGTTCATTATATTGTTCTCTGGGTGCTTAATATCTGTATATCCTATTTTCTCAATTTAATTTTAAACTATTTGAGAGCAGAGATTGGGGCTTGCCCTTTCCTACTTTCCATTGTTAAACTCCCAGTGCCTAGCAGAGTACTGGGCAAACAAAAAGTATGTAATAACTGATAATAGTTTTTCATTCTGTGAGTACTGATTTAGACAATTTTATAGCTTGTTATGTTAGTTTGAGGAAACAGTGTAATTTTAAAAATTCTAGTTATTAAATTTGCTTTTGGATAAGCCTTTTCCTTGCTTATTCCTCTTGAAGCTTTAAAAAGTAGGCTTGAGAGGTATGCAGATAGTTTAAAAATTAGATTATTAAATCAAAACTAAACAGCATTTTAGAAATATTTGCACAATCATACAAAAACACAAATTCTATTAAAATGTTTGGGATGAGCAGCATTTTTTTTCACTAGCAATACAGGGGGAAGGGACAAAAAGAACATTCAAAATATTTGGATATCTAAATAGTTAGAAAACAAGCATTCCTTTCTAACACTTATTAAATACAAAGCTTGCTATTTAGAGTATTTTTTATGCTGAAAGAAAAGTTTGTTGTTTTTGATAGTGTATCCTAAACTTTTTACTTAAAGCAAATATTTTATTTAGAAAATTTTTTTCTCAGTGTAGAGAAAGGAGGTAATTATTTACATTTCTTACAGATTAACACATAATGTAGACAAACGGGTCCTAAATTTAGAATGAGATGGTTCTAAATCCAAGGTTGGCCACTTATTAGTTAATCATTCATATGGTCACAGGCAAATCATTTAATCTCTGTGCTTCAGTTTCTTCTTCTGTAAAATTGAGATAATATTTGTGCTAACTACCTCACAGTTTTGTTGTGACCAAAATGTTTATAAACCTAAATGTAGTGTGTAAATATGAGCTGTAGTGCTTTGTGTGGGGGAAGGGTGTGTTGACCTGTCATTTCATCACCCTGGGGAAGTACTCTAGAACATTCTGATACTCATGCAGATCAGCAGCTCATCTTTAACTTAAATTGAACAGTCCTTATGTGTCTAATAGTCATGAACCCAAAGGAAAAAAATTTAAATGAACTTTCAAAAAGTAGAAAATTAGATAAAGAATACTTTTCCTTCTTAGAATATATTTTGAGTGACCTATTTTAACTGAATATATATATATATATATATATGTATTTATATATATTGTTGTGGTTTCATTGAATATTGAATATAAAATTAGAAGGGATCTAATAGCTGATCTATTTTAGCACCCACATTTTATAAATGAGAAAACTGAGGATCTGAGAAATACAAGGTCTTATCCAAATTTTACACAGATAGTCAGGGAGAATTTGAATTGAGGCTCTCTGGCTCCAGATCCAGTGTGGTTTTCCACTGTACCACATTGTCATCAATGTATATTATTCTGATAGTTTATGACATACATATTGTATGATCAATTCAATTAAATAAGACAACAGAAGAGAAAATAACAATACCATTAATGAGTTGGCTTCACATTTGTCGTTCAAATTTATTATTTTTGTTTAGTATTTAATATGATTTGATGCATTCAGTTTTTACATTTTTCTTAAAGTGTTCTAATGAAGCTGTATTTGCTGCTGATTTCCACCCCACGGACACCAATATTATTGTTACATGTGGAAAATCACATCTGTATTTTTGGACATTAGAAGGAAACTCCCTTATTAAAAAGCAAGGATTATTTGAGGTAAGGTTAAATTACATTTTTTCTTTTAATAAAATGAAATTTTATGACTGAATGTTAAAGAAGTAATTAAATCCGTTACTGTGTTTAACTTCTCTGTTTTAATTTTAGCCTTCCTGTCTAATATTCTAAACAGGCATTTGAAATTCAGCATCCCCAAAACTGAACTCATTCTCTTTTCCTCAAACCCACCTTTCTTCTGAACTTACCAATTGCTGTCAGTGGCACCACTGTCCTTATAGTCATCTAAGCTTGCTCTCACATGTCTGAACAGTTGTCACGTCTTATCCTTTCTATTTCCACAGTGTCTCTCATACACATCCCATCCTCACCAGTCACCTCTCCATGACCCTGGTCCAGGCTCTCATCTACTCTCACCTGAACTATTCAGTGGCCTTTGGTTTCCCCACCTCAGCCCTCATTCCACATTATCTATATAGCTGCCAAATTGATTTTCCTAAAACATAGTTCTGTCCGTGTCACCTTCCCTCCCCAACTCGATAAACTCCAGTGGTTTCCTATTCTCTCTAACATCAAGTATAAACTCCTCTGTTTGGTGTTTAAAGCTCTTTATAATCTAGCCCTTTCCGACCTTTCTGAAATTTTTACACATTACTCCTACTACATATATTCTGCAATCCAGCTGTGCTAGATTGTTATTTATTATGCCTCCTTGTATTTATTCCTCACGCAAGAAATTCCATCACCCTTTCCCTGCTTTTGTACTAACTGTCCCTTATGCCTGAGATGCACTCCTTTTTTACCCTTACCTCTCAGAATCCCTGCTTTCTTTCAAGGCTTAGCTTAGACTGCACCTTCTACACAAAGATTTTACTGATCCTGCCTCCCAGGGGCTAAAGCACTCCCTTTCCAGCTATCTTTTTAGTCATTGTGTGTGAATATGTATACACAGAAGACACATATATGAAGTGTATATGTATACATGTGCACACAGATACATACATGTATATGTGTATATTGTACTTGTGTGTGTGTGTGTGTGTGTGTGTGTGTGTAATATATACTCACAGATACCACTATGCTTTCCCCCACTCTCCACATTGTAGCTTCTGGAAGGCAGAGACTTTTTCACTTTTATCGCTTTATTTCTAGTGCTTAATATAATGCCTGACAAATAGTAGGGACTTATGTTGGTTGATTGATTGATTGATTGATTGATTGTGTCTGTACTAAGTCAATAAGTCAGTTCTGATCTCCAAGAATCAATCATCTGACCTTTTCTAAATGGTGGATTTGAGATTTTCAGTAGTCCTACCACACTTGGATTTGAAGAGAGGGAAGTTCTAACTTGCTTTTCTATGTACAGGTAATGTGATTACTAGTGAAGAAAAGAAAGTGATTTTGAACCCCTGTGTGGGGCAGCGAGGACCAGAGGCCTAGGAGAATGATTTATTATAGGTGATTACACTAGTATATTAAGTAAGAGGCCCTGTAAAATTTCATGAATTAATAATTTCTCTTGTGTATCTTTTCAGTGCTTTGAAATATAATCTTTCATATCTCTACCTGTTGAAATACTTCTCTTCCTTTAAGGCCCAATGTAAACATCTCTTCTTCCATGAAGCCTTTCCTGACCTCCCCCCATACTACCCATCCTGGCCCAAAGTCATTTCCCCTTTTCTACTTTTTTAGAGCATATTGTCTGGATTTCTCCTTTGCCCCTTTACTGTTTATCATACTTCTCTGTGTACATATGCTTTAAGGGGCAAGACTGAGTAGAATGTCATGTGTATATTAGGCACTTTAAAAAACATTTGTTTAACTGAATTGAGAAAAATAAAACAAAAATTATGGGTAAAAAATTAAATATACGGGGCAGCTAGGTGGCAAAGTGGATAGAGCACTGGCCCTGAAGTCAGGAGTACCTGAGTTCAAATCTGGCCTCAGACCAAACACTTGACACTTACTATGTATGTGACCCTGGGCAAGTCACTTAACCCCAATTGCCTAAAAAAAAAAAATACAAAACAAGTGTTAAATAATGATGCTTTCAAAAAGAAACTTGAATATAAGTCAAATATCATAGATTTTCTTAACCCTGTTTTTTGGAAGTCTGAATATAAATATAGTTTCCAATTTTAAGAAGTTGCTTCTGGTGGTATTTGCTAAATCAACTCCTTGTTTGTTATTGATTTAATAATCAGTACTTTAGAATCAGGGTCTTCTACGTCTAACTCATTCCCTAATATATTCCAGTTTAAATTAGAGGTTACAAACTCATAAGTGGATTTTCCCATACAGATTAAAATGCAATTGGGAAAAGTTTAACAAAATAAATAAAAATACATATATAATGTCAATTTGTAGTTTTCAAAATGAACACGCAGCCATTTTTATTTGATTTTTGTCACTACTGGTTTAGATGACTGGCAAATGTAAGGATGTCATGGAGGGTTACCAATGAAAAATATTCTAGAAACTTGTTTCTTTGGGGGTTTATTGAATTGGTACTTGAGAAGAGAGAAAGAGGTAGTAAGGTGGGGTTGAGGACAGAAAAGAATGCAGTGAAAAAGACTGAGGCCAAGCATGGAATGTCTCAGATGTAATCACTAATTACTGAAGATCCGTTACTGAAGGAGGAAAAAGAAGAGAACAGGCACAGTAGGGAAAGTGGTCTGGGGGCATATGTAGGAAAACACCAAGGGGAAAATTTCTTGCTTACAGTGCTAGTCTTATCCTCTGCCCCCACTCTTTTTGGGAGTTAAATGTGTAGTGGTGTCTGCCTTTTTTAGCCTGTGCCCCATAATTCCCTTCAATTTCTCTCTTTCACAGAAAAGGAAATACCTTCAGTTGGTTAATTATAATATATTAACTACTATGGTGTGAAGAGTAACAGGTTATAGCCTATATTATAGGCAAAATTCTAAGTTCACAGCATAGTTAGAGTCCAGTATTGTCCATCTTAAGTTATATCCTGAATGAGACTTCATAAAGTTAAATAAGAGTTTATATTTCCATGTTTCAGCTTCTCAAGTTCAGTTAGAAAATCAATTCAGATCCTTCACTGGGAAGCTATTTCCTCTTTCTCATTTTACCCAACTTATGTCATCAAGTTGGGATATTCTCTCTCAACTTCTAGAATATTAAAAAATAAAGATTCTTTCTGACTTCAGTCTCCAGGAATTCAAAGATGTCTCTTGCCACTCATATCTTTCCTGAGTGTTCAGACTAACTTAATTTCCTCCAAAACGATTCTTTCAAGTCCTGTTCTGATTGTCCCGATTTTGTCCAGAGGTAATCCTGTCCTTCTATTTTGATTCGTTCATTCACTACTTTGTCTTTCTTTAGTTATTTTATTTGCATTATTTTCTTCCTACCTAGTTCAATGCCAACTTATTTGTTCCCTTATTATCCTGTAATTGTTTGTTTGATTGTTTCCGTTTAGTTCTTATATTTCAAACTCACATTTGCAAGTACAAACAGAAGTGATGCTTTAATGATATGTATTCAGAAGAATAGCACACTACAATTATAAGCTAATTTTAAAAAGAACTTCAATAGTTCTTTAAGAGTTTGTAATTGCACTGCTATAAGTTATCCCTCTAACCCACCTAGAGTAAAATCCCTTTATCTTATAGTTTCTGGTTTTTATGTTACTGGAGCCAAAAATATTTACCACCTTATAGCCAACCTGGTAATATATGTATAATTTGTTTGAGTTTTATAAAAATTACGTGGAAATAATTTCATTATGAGATTAATAACATACTAAAAGACAATCTCTCAGTTTAAAATATGTGCTTATATCACTCTGTAGAAACAAGAAAAGCCAAAGTTTGTCCTTTGTGTGACCTTCTCTGAAAATGGTGATACCATTACTGGAGATTCAAGTGGCAACATCTTAGTTTGGGGAAAAGGTAAGAAAAATTGCTCTTTTTTTGAGAGAGAGAATTTTGTCTGGATACTTCAAAAAGTAGTAATGTTATTAATATAGTGAATTTTAGGAAGTATTCTAACAAAGTTCAGTTTGACTTTAGTGAAGATTCTTTGTGAAATTTAATATAAGTATATTTGTAGTCAAATGCCAAATTAAATGGAGGAAATAAAAAGCACTGGGAGGCAGTATGACATAATGGATAGAGAGTTGGCCTTGAAGTTAAACAAACCTGAGTTCAGGTTTTTCAGATAAAACAAACTGGCTCATTACTCTAGTAATGGGTTAGCCAACTAGTCACTTAACATCTCAGTGCTCCAATCAACTCTCTCAAACTACAAATTGCAGAGAAGGTGTTGATTGCCATTGTTAAAGGAAATTCTTCCCCAGAGCTCCCTCCACTGATGAAATCACAGGTCTGGTTTGAAAAAAGATGAAAAGCACCATATAATTGGAGGCATTAGAACTATGGAAAATTGGTGAATAAGAGCTGTGACCAAGTTTTGATTTGCTATTCAGTAGAATTAATAGTTTAATTAAAGGCAAGGTGGCTTAATGGACAGAGGGCCAACCAAATTGCCAGAAAGACCTGGATAGAATCTGACACATTATAGTTGTGTGACTATGGGTAAGTTCCTCTCAGTGTCCCCAGGCAACTCTTTACAACTATTTTACAGCTGGAAAAGACCTTGGAAAACATCAATTCCAACTCCCTCATTTTATAAATGAGTAAACTGAGGCACAGAAAAGCTAAGAATTTGCCCAGAGCTGTGCAGATAATAAATGTCTGAGGTGGGATTTAAATTACTAACCTACATGAAAGAACAGTTTTATACTTCTCTCAGGGTGATGCCAAGATGGCAGAGTAAAGGCAGGAACTCACCTAAGCTCTCCCCCAGACCCTTCCAAATACTTTAAAAATGACTCTAAACAAATTCTAGAGCAGCAAAACCCACAAAAAGATGGAGTGAAAAAAATTTCCAGCACAAGACATCTTGAAAGGTCAGCAGTAAAAGTCTGTCACACCTGGATGAGAGTGGAACATGGTCCAGCGCAGACCAGGCCCCAGCAAACCTGGAGCAGATCTCAGGGGACTGAATCACTGGCAGCAGTGGCAGTTTCCAGATCTCTCAGCCCAGAGACACCAAAGACAATTTAGAAGGTCAGCAGGAAAGGTCTGTTGCATCTGGCTGAGAGCAGGGCACAGTCCAGCACAGGCCAAGCCAGCAAAGCCCAGCCCCAGGAAACCAGGAGCAGCAGTGGCAGGGGCTACTCCCAGAGCTCTCAGCCCACAGATGGTAAGGAAGTTGAATAACTCGTCAGAAGGAGATTACAGACGGGTATTTTTGCTAACACTGAGGCAGGACTCTGTTGCTTTGCCTATACTCGAATCTGGGTTGCAGTCCTGGGTAGCAGTCCCAGGGTGAAGAGGAGCATTGGCATAGCAGAGTTTGCAGCCACAGTGAAGGGGAGACCCTTCTCACAGTTCTAGGACAAAAAAGAGTGCTTCTGGTCACTCACAGACCAGAGCACAGGCCAGGAGAAGAGTAAACACATCTCCTTAGATCATACCACCTTGGAAGAGCTGAAAACCCACAGGTCCCTAGAAGTATCTTTGAAAACAGCAAAACCCCTGAAACTTGGGACAGTTCATCCTTCACACTGGAAGCAGAACCCTACCTTAACAAAGAGTTAAAAAGTCAAGTAATAGGCTGAAGAAATTAGCAAACAATGGAAAAAAACTCTGACTATAGAAACTTACTTTAGTGACTAGGAAGATTAACACATACACTCAGAAGACAACAGAGTCAAAGCTCCTACATCCAAAGCCTCCAAGAAAAATATGAATTGATCTCAGGCCATGGAAGAGCTCAAAAAGGATTTTGTAAATCAAGTAAGAGAAGTAGAGGAAAAATTGGGAAGAGAAATGAGAGTGATGCAAGAAAATCATGAAAAACAAGTCAACGGCTAGGTGAAGGAGATACACATCCCAAAAAAAAAATACTAAAGAAAAAAACACCTTTAAAAAAAAAAACAGACACAAGAGTCCAAAAAGCCAATGAGGAGAATGCCTTAAAAAATTGGCCAAATGGAAAGGGAGGTCCAAAAGCTCACTGAAGAAAATAATTTCTTAAACATTAGAATGAAGCAAATGGAAGCTAATGACTTTATGAGAATTCAAGAAACAATGAAACAAAACCAAAAGAATGAAAAAGTAGGAGACAATGTGAAATATCTTATTGGAAAAACTGACCTGGAAAATAGATCCAGGAGAAATAATTTTAAAATTATTGGACTACCTGAAAGCCATGATCAAAAAAAGAGCCTAGACATCATCTTTTAAGAAATTATCAAGGAAAACTGACCCAATATTCTAGAACTGGAGGGTAAAATAGAAATTGAAAGAATCCACCAATCACCTCCTGAAAGAGATTCCAAAAGGAAAACTGCCAGGAATATTATAGCCAAATTCCAGAGTTCCCATGGCAAAGAGAAAATATTGGAAGCAGCCAGAAGGAAACAACTCCAGTATCATGGAGCCACAGTCAGTATAACACAAGATTTAACAGCTTCTATATTAAAGGATTGGAGGGCTTGGAATATGATATTCTGGAGGGCAACAGAGCTAAGATTACAACCAAGAATCACCTACCCAACAAAACTGAGTATAATCCTTTTGGGAGAAAAATGGATATTCAGTGAAGTAGAAGACTTGCAAGCATTCTTTTATATATGTATATATAAATTTATTTATTTTTAGTTTTCAATATTCACTTCCACAAGTTTTGAGTTCCAAATTTCTCACCCCTCCCCCCACCCCAAGATGGCATGCATTCTGATTACCCCTTCCCCTGGTCTGCCTTCTCTTCTATCTCTCCCCCTCCCTTCTCTTATCCCTTTCCCCTTCTATTTTCTTGTAGAGCAGGATAGACTTCTGTACCCCATTTCCTGTGTTTCTTATTTCCCAGTTGCATGTGAAAACATTTTTTTTAAAACATGTGTTTTTAAAACTTTGAGTTCCAAATTTTCTGCCTTCCTCCCTCCCCACCCACCCTCATTGAAAAGGCAAGCAACTCAATATAGGTTGTACATGTGCAGTTATGCAAAACACTTCCTTAGTAGACATGTTGTGAAAAACTAACTCTATTTCCCTTAATCCTATCCTGCCCTCCCATTTATTCTATTCTTTCTTTTGACCCTGTCCCTCCTCAGAAGTATTTGCTTCTGATTACCCTCTTTCCCAATCTGCCCTCCTCTCTACCACCTCTCTGCTCTCTTGTCCCCTTCTCCCCCTATTTTCCTGTAGGGTAAGACAGATTTTCATACCCAATTGAATGTGTATGTTATTCTCTCCTTAAGCCAAATCCTATGAGAATGAGATTCCCTCATTCCCTCTCACCTTCCCCTGTTTCCCCTCCACTGTGAGAGACTTTTCTGTTTTTTTATGAGATAATTTACCCCATTCTACCTCTCCCTTTCTTCTCCAAGTATCATCCTCTCTCATCCCTTAATTTTATTCTCCAGATATGACCCCTTAATCTTCAACTCACCCTGTGCCCTCTATCTATCTATCTATATATACATACATACAATTTTTTTCCTTCAACTACCCTAATACTGACAAAGTTCTCATGAGTTACAAATATCATCTTTCCATGCAGGAATGTAAACAGTTCAATCTTAATAAGTCTCTTATGATTTCTCTTTCCTGTTTACCTCTTCATGTTGCACTGGAGTCCTGTATTTGAAAGTCAGATTTTCTGTTTAGCTCTGGTCTTTTCATCAGGAATGCTTGAAGTCCTCTATTTCACTGAATGACCATTTTTTCCCCTGAAGGATTATACTCAGTTTTGCTGGGTAGGTGATTCTTGGTTGTAATCCTATCTCCTTTGCCCTCTGGAATATTATATTCCATGCCCTGTGGTCCTTTAATGTAGAAGCTGGATAATCTTGTGGTTATCCTGATTGTGTTTCCACAGTACTTGAATTGTTTCCTTCTGGCAGCTTGTAATATTTTCTCCTTGACCTGGGAACTCTGGAATTTGGCTACAATATTCCTAGGAGTTTTCCTTTGGGGATGTCTTTCAGATCATTTCTTGAAAGATGATGTCTAGGCTCTTTTTTTGATCATGGCTTTCAGATAGTCCAATAATTTTTAAATTCTCCCTCCTGTATCTATTTTCCAGGTCAGTTGTTTTTCTAATGAGATATTTCATATTGTTTTCTAATTTTTCATTCTTTTGGATTTGTTTTACAGTGTCTTGATTTCTCATAAAGTCACTGTCTTCCAATTGCTCTATTCTAATTTTTAAGGAAGTATTTTCTTCAGTAATCTTTTGGACTTCCTTTTCCATTTGGCCAATTTTTCTTTTTAGGGCATTTTTCTCCTCATTGGCTTTTTGGACTTCTTTTGCCATTTGGGTTAGGCTGTTTTTTAAGGTGTTATTTTCTTCAGTATTTTTTTGGATCTCCTTTAGTAAGCTGTTGACTTGTTTTTCATGATTTTCTTGCATCACTCTCATTTCTCTTCCCAGTTTTTCCTCTACTTTTCCTTACTTGCTTCTCAAAATCCCTTTTGAGCTCTTCCAAGGCCTGGGACTGATACATATTTTTCTTGGAGGCTTTGGATGTAGGAGCTTTGACTTCGTTGTCTTCTTCTGGTTGTATATTTTGATCTTCTTTTTCACCAAAGTAAGATAATATAGTCTGACTCTTTTTGTGCTGCTTGCTCATGATCCTGGCCAATTACCTGAGTTTTAAACTCTTTGTTGAGGTAAGAGTCTGCTTCTAATGTGGAGAGTGTACTGTCCCAAGCTTCAGGGGTTTGTGTAGCTGTTTTTAGAGGTACTTGTAGGGACCTGTAAATTTTCAGTTCTACCAAGGTGGTATGATAAGGGGCGAAGTGTTTACTCCTTTCCTGGCCTATGACCACAAGTATTCCTTTCTGTCCTGTAACTGTGAGGAAGGGTTCCTCTCCACAGC